ACTGAGTCTAACTTGCTGACCACGACGTGTACGAGCAAGTCATTCCAGAGCGCGTCCGGGTTTCTATTGAGTGATTGCAACGATGCGACCGCGATATTTACTTTATCCAGCATTGATTGCAGCTCGATCGCCGATTCTCGAGAAATTGTCGGAAGCTGGAGCAACGTCGAAAGATGCTAAGTAATTAACCGACGCTTATTTTCGTATCGCTTGACCAAGGCTTGCCACGCGATGTCAAAATTGGCAGCGGTTACAGAGAGATTTCCGATAGATTCGAGCGCGCGACCCGTTATACAAGACGTTAAAAAATGCATGCGAGCGAAGTCGTCTAGCGATTTATTGTGAATTATTAACGTAGTAAATCGATCGCGGAATTGTTCCCAATCTTCGTAACGACCGTCAAACGGTGGTAATCGTATAGACGGGAGATGCGAGACCGAAAATGAAGAGGACGGCGCTCTTGATTCAACAAGAGGCGTTTAACTCACGCATGGCTCCACTTCCTCCAAGCATTCCGTCATGAAGTCGTGCGTGTCGGCGTACGCCTCCTCCGTGGCCTCGAAGAATCCGTCCTTGAAGTATTTCAGCGACATTCTCGTAGCTTCAGGAACCGTCTTCAGCAAGAGAGCATGGCCTTCCACAAATTGCTTCCAGTTCTCCTTGAGCATGGACATCCTTGACCGAATTTTCGCAGGTGTCCAGTTGTTTTGACCGAGCTTTTTGAAATTCTCCAGCGATTTCTCGATCATGCGCTTGCCTTGCAGTTGGCGGTGCAATGGATCAGCCATGGCTCGTCGGTCCGATTCAGTATTGAGTTCACCGTGTAACCGTGCTCCGAATCCGGCTCGAAGGACCAAATTAATGTACGCGGACTTATAGGTGTTATTAATTCCGCTTCCACCGGTACACCCAGCGCAGGGCGCGCGAACACGGGCTGATTATCAAGGACCGACTTGTGGTTGCAAATAATTTGAGCACGTGCAATAATTAAACTTAACAAGTAATGCCAATCTTTATTAGTGAATAACAAAACGATGAGAGTAGCTTTAGACACAACTCGTCTTTGATGGAAAACGATCGGACACGCGAAGAAGCAGTCGTTAAGGCTGGAATGAGATCGCGGAGTCCTATATCGTTATACGAACGTGATACAAGATTTTTGTGCTCTGAACGGTCGATTTCTTACACGGTCGTTTTATAAATGTCGCGTCGGCTACGCTGGCCGATCTCATTGGTTCAGCGAGAAAACGGTCGCGAGAGTTGAGCGAGATTTATTATTGTCGAGAATCGGCTCTGATACATGATGATGTAGCGGTATTGTGATGTGTCGCCGATTCCAAATAATTGCGCGGATATTCGCCGAATCATGTTTTGATTTCGGCGGCACAACACATCGCTCGCGAGACATTGTTGTCATGCGGTCTCTCAGCTCACTCGATCTTATTATTAGAATGCTTCTAGAATATTCCTACGGAATATTCCAGAAGCAAGCTGAAAGAGCCGAGCCGAATCCCGAACACAGATATTGCATTTAAATTATATTTTACGTTAGTATAAATACGCTATATATTTGTATATAAAAATATTGTATACTCCATTATATAATATTAGTGTTAATAATATATATTTTTTATTACAGAATGGAATATAATACCTTTCATATTT